ATTTTTTACAAGTAACATATTATATATAAAGAGAATATTAGGAGTATTCTAACCCAAACATACGAATTACAACAAAATTGGTTCCAACACCTAACCAGAAACCTATAAAATCAAGTAATCTTCTACAAAAAATCAGTAGATATATTTTTGGATAATGTCGTCAGGATTCCCTACTGCATAATTGAAGATAATTTGGTTTCTGGTTCACCAGATACACCAACAACAGCAAAACAAAATTATTCCTGTCGTATCCTTCGAACTCTTACCCACCATCTTTACAAACCAATCCAAGAGGTGATCACAACTGTTATCTAGCCCAATCATTACCAACCCACCCAATTAATATAGCTTTCCAAACCAAATAAATATGTGGGCAGGAGAAAAATAGATGGTTGTTGGACTCAAAAGCGTTAAAATAGAACACACATACCGTGTCATGGGGACTAGATATTACACCCCTGGCGCCAGATTTGATCGCGTAGGAAGCATTTCCGAGCACAATCGCCATCCAAACAGTTTTACCTTCATTAGGATCTTCGACTGCCATAGGATATCTAGAGCGGTATTAAGTGTAATATCCAAATCACTAACACCACCGGCCTGTAAGCAACCTTCATAACATGCTTTGACTGAAAATATATTAGATGGCACACTAGGCAAGACAAAATAATCTAAAGTCCCTAGCCTAGGTGATACCTCTAACAACAACAACAAGAGGTCATGGTATTCTATCGCTGCAACACCTGCTAATGAACCATCCACAAAACTCAACCTCCACTGCCATGCGCCATAAGTCCAAACCCCCAAGTCAGAAACCACAACATATTTAAATTCAGAGATTTCAAACAGGGCTGGAAAGGAATCCTGCAGAGACCTAACATCAATCCACCGCGAAAACCAAAACGACACAAGCTTACCATCACCAAGTTTACACGACAACTATGATTTAAAGCCGTAATCCAAAATAAAATCACTAATTTTCATGAAGTCCCTCTACCATAGTGATGCATACTTATCTAATTTGGAATCAAAAGATAACAAAATCCTTCTAGAGATGCTACCATACCTAAACTCAAGCACCTTCCTCCAAATCGTTGTTGGCTCATGAATCATTCTCCACAACCACTTAGACAACAATGCTATATTAAAAACGAAAATATTTTTGATTCCGAGCCCCCCCCCCCCCCCTGCTCCTTTGGTTTGCAGACCGAAGACCACTTAATCCAAGTCATAGTTGATACTTTATAAGTTCCCGCCCACAAAAACCTCCTATGAATGACCTCCAACTGATGAACCACTTTAACCGATGCTTTAAAAAATATAAGGTGATGAACAAGAAGATTCGATAATACAAAGTTGATAAGTGTCACCCAACCACCAATTGAAAGTAACTTTCCTTTTCATGACGACAACTTAGCTTTAAAAAAATCAACCACGGGCTTCCAAAAATGAACCCTTCTATGGTTCCCACCTACATAAAGACCAATAAATTTAAAAGGTAATAGTCCCTTATTGAACGCCAAAAATTTGGAAGCAGCCTCCATGAAAGATGCCTCCAAACCTACACCAAAAAAACAACTTTTCCAAAAATTAACTCTAAGACTCGAAATCAATTCGAATCCTTTAAGGATTGCCTTTATCCCCCACAAGTTAGACCACACATCATCACAAATCAATACATTGTCATCAACAAATTATACCAGTTTGAAGCCATTGAACAAGTTCATTTCCCTTGCCCTCCTTATTAGTAGTGTAATGCATTCCGCCATAATAGAAAACAAAAATGGAGACAAAGGGTCTCCCTTTCGTAACCCCCTTGTAGCCTTAAAGTTTTTTGTTAAATTTTCGTTCACCAAAACAAAAAGATAGCAATTAAGTACCCCACCTCTAAGCCAATTAGTCCACCTGCCACCAAAATTCATGGCCACCAAAACCTTTTCCAAGAACTCCCACTCAACACAATTATATGCTTGGGTAAAATTCATTTTGAACATTAAACAACTTATCTTCTTTCTTTTTGCAAGATCAGAGATTTCATTGACGACAAGCACTCAATCTAGAATATTCCTCCCAGGGATAAAGTTGTTTGAGATGTTGAGATCAGTTTGTTAATAACCTTACCAAGTCTAGCCGCCAACATCTTGGAGATTACTTTATAAATACAACAAATAAGGCTAATTTAACGATACTTCTCCAACCAGTATGGGTTGCTAGATTTAGGGATTAAAGCAATAAAGGAAGAGCACAAAGATTTTGGGAGAGTAGTCCTGTAATAGAATTCAAGGATGCATTTGGTTATATCATCACAAATGATATCCCAACTGCGATGCAAGAATTCCAAGTTTATCTCGTCCGGTCCTGGACTCTTATTCCCGTCGCAACCAGAAATAGCTAGAAATATTTCATCCGAGGTGAAAGGTTCTTGCAACATCTCCATATCTTCTTGTGAAATTTTTGGTAGCCCAGACAAGTCCAAGGCCGGCCTTCTGCCACTAACCCCCTGATTGTAGAACTCTTTGAAAGCCTTTTTGACAACAACAACTTCCTCAAGCATCACCATGCCAACCTTAACAGTTGATATATTATTTTCCTACATCTATACTTCATCATGGAATGAAAATACCTTGAGTTTACATCACCCTCCATAATCCATTTTGTCCTAGATTTCTGTTTAAGAATACTTTCTTTAAGGAAAAGTATCGTCTATATCTCTTCTTGCACCTTAATTCTCAATCCCATATCTTCTTCTGAGAAGTTGTCGTTATCTTTTGCCACGCTTGCCTGAAGACCGATAAGTTTATCCACACCTTCATCTATCTTCAAGTCTACCCACCCAAACACGTGTTTGTTCCACCATCTTAACCTATCCCTCAGACATTTCATTTTTCCCACAAGAATTTGGCTATGGCTCCCCAACCCCTAATAAGAATGTATCACATCTCTAACAAACTCCAAGAATCCTGGAAGTTGCAAATCATGTTAAAAAAGTTAAATTTTTAATTCCACTTAAAAGTTTAAAATTTTGCACAAGACGAATAATCGAAAGAAAGAGTGATGATTCAAGATAAATACAGAAATTGAGAATGGGTTAAAGAGAAAAGAGAAAGAAGAAGAATTTCTAAAAGAAAAAAAAAAGTAAACGAGATGAGAAAGTGGGGAGATGGGTGGATATTTTTTAATTTATTTAATTTAAGAGTGTAATATGAATTAGATGAGAATTATTTATTAATAAAATTCACATTAATAATTTAGTTAAAAATTATACATATTGTATAGAGCCATGTAAGAAGGATCTTGGTATCCAACCAATTTATTAAGTATTGATCAATATTTAATTATAAGAACGTAGATTCAAATCTGCAACATTTTATTTATTCAATTTTGAGTGTTAAATATTTAAGGGTTAAAATTGAATCCATATCCTTAAATACATTGAAAATGAAAAAATTGACGTAAGGACAAACATGATTATAACATGGCTATAAATTTTTTGTTGACCAAATAAAAGAAGGGCCAATACATTTTAAAGAGTACTATAATATATTAGTCTCCTTTATTCTTTATTTTAATTAAAAACGTTAACTATTTCGTGCATATTCCTTCTCTGACATAACTTTTAGCACATATTTCCTCTCTATTTCACTTACTCTTTTGTCTCATTATAATTCACACGTTTACATAAATAAAATCTCTTATTCCCTCTCTTCTATTTCTTCTTTTTTCTTTATAAAAGCAATATATTTATTATATTTTCTTAATATTATCACTCTAATCACATTAAGTAGTTGAGAGACATATAGAGGTTAGACCAGATGTTTGACTCAAAATGCACAGTGATAGCATTAATATATATATATATATATATATATATATATATATATATATATATATATATATATATATATATATATATATATATATATATATATATATATATATATATATATATATATATATATATATATATATATATATATATATATATATATATATATATATATATATATATATATATATATATATATATATATAAAATAGTGTAAAGTCCACATCCACTTATATATATGAATTCTAAGCTAAGTAATGTAGTTAGTTATCCCTCAAACCTTATCAAATCAAAACCTAAAACATATCTATTTCCTTTGCCTACATCTTCCCAATATTCATAGTCTAACAAGAATATCAAACTCCTCAAAAAATATTTATTTAATTTTTTGTATATATGATTTTGCATTCACATGCAAAATGACCGTTAAGTAAATACTATATGTCATGTGTTGAATTTTGTTTCAAAATATTGAAAATATGTGTGCACGTGCCATACAAATGAATTTTTGTTTCTTAAAAAGTAAAAACATTGATCATGTCAAATGATGTTTTTTTATATGCTAGCAAAGTGTCTTACGTAATTCATAAATAGTTTAATGTAAAAATTGATTAGTAAATAAATATATAAAATATGGAAAATATGCATGCTTGGTGGGTTATAAGTAGAAGTTGTAGGTTAGAAATTTGGAAAGACATTGAAAGCATAACCAAATTGGCTTTTCTAAGCAACCTTTTTTCTTTCACTCACATCTCATTTTTATATATGTATATATAAATAAATAAACATTATATATTTATATATATTATTATATGCTTATATTATTATATTATTATATTATTATATATAAATAAATATCTATATGTATATGTTTGTTAGCCAAAATGTTGGCATTAATCTTCCCACTTTCTAACGGAAAACTTCCCATCTTCCCCACCATATATTCTCTTCCCATGTCTCTTTCCACTTCTTGTCTTCAATATTGTTAGTTAATTTGTTTCCCTCACCTCCTCTTATATATATACACCCCTTTTCATCTTCCACTTTGCTTTGATATATATTCTTAATTTTCATATACCTTTGAATATTGATCATATAGATCAAAGCAAGAGGGAGAGAAACTAGTTAGAATTATCCTATCTTGAATTAGGGTTCGAGTTTGAGAAGAGATAATATGTGTAGTAGAGGCCATTGGAGACCATCTGAGGATGAGAAGCTTAGGGAGTTGGTGGAAAGCTATGGACCTCATAATTGGAACGCCATAGCTGAAAATCTCAGAGGAAGATCAGGTAAAATTAATGATCATAGAGTTAATTATTCTAATTGTTTCATTCAGCTCAAAATAAAATAAAATAAAATAATATTTCAACAACTATAGAATATGTATGTAGATGAAAAAGATAGCATATCAACCCACTTAACTCTTAGGTAAGATATTTGTGATAGTTTGGTAATATACATAATAGTGTCATAGTAGAAAAAATCTATTGGAATTGCACAGGAAAATAAATAAATTAATTGTATAATTCTATTGCTATAGGTTGAATATGTCACTAATTCATTAATTTTTTTCTAGGGTTTGTTTCAAAGATCATGAAGTATAATTTTTATTAAACATCATTTATGATATTATAAGTTTGTAATATTAATTATAACATAGGCTAATTATTTTTGTCATGAGGTTTATTAGGGAAAAGTTGTAGGTTGAGATGGTTCAATCAATTGGACCCAAGGATAAACAGAAATCCTTTCACTGAGGAAGAAGAAGAGCGTCTGATAACTTCTCATCGGATTCATGGCAATAGATGGGCCGTAATTGCGAGACACTTCCCCGGCCGGACGGATAATGCTGTGAAGAATCATTGGCATGTGATGATGGCAAGGATTCGTCGCGAAAGGTACAAGATATATGCAAAAGGTCCTCTTGATCATCACATAATTTTCTCTCAAAATGATCATCAAACAAACTTTGAGACAAGAAATCTTCATTCTTTTGTTGAGAACTATCATGAAAAGAATAAACACCCAAGTGTCTCGTATAACCCTTTCCAATTTCCGAAGTTTCGGTTTCAAGATCCAAGTTCTTGTTCCACAATGCTTCAAGGTACATGCATTTTCAAGTGTGATACTAATGAACATTGGTAATGAAAATGTTAATTTTGTTTGTTTGATATTGTAGATAAAACTCAATCAATTGAGTTCTACGATTTTCTTCAAGTAGATTCTAATAAAAGTGAAGTTACTGATAATGCTAGAAGAGAGGATGAGGAAGTGAATCAAGATGTTGTGAAGAACAAAGAAAAACATGTTCCATTCATTGATTTTTTGTCTACTTCAAGCTGCTAACGTAGTTGCAAAATTAAGTGATTCTACCACCATTGTATGAGTTCAATTGAGCTTAATTAAGTAGAACAATATCTCAACCAATGAATATATGCACTAATGATACACATGTATTTAACGACATATGTACACTTGTAACCTGTAAGAAAAAAAATGAAAACTGCTTTATTGGAAAAATTGTAGAAATGTATATGATTATTATTTTATCTGTTCTATAGCTAGGTCGCATGCATATATTATATTTCAGAAAGGAATAGAAAATACCAATAGTGCGTGAAGTTCACCTTAGAACGTCTCCGGCACTGGCACGATGGATGGTGGAGAAGGAAAAAGTGTATCTAAGTTAACACTTTATATCAAATATTAGAAGCTTAACCACCTTTCCTTCTCTTAGGTTTATAGTTTGTTTTTCCTCGGTTTTAGGCTGACTAGTATGAGGCCCAATTGCTATATATATTTGGGCCTCAATCTATTGTAAATCTATTCACTCATTTTATTTTTTTTCATTGGGTTAAAGGACATTTTCAATGCATTTTTCATTGTGTAATATGGCATCTAGAGACCAAACCTTTCCCTTCCAAAATTTTGTTTCCCTCCTTCTTCCTCCTTGTGACTCTATCGTTTCAAACCCTAAGCATTTCATCTTCACCTTTTCATGGCTTCCACTTCGACGACGAACTTTCCACCATCAAAGACACCTCCAAAAAAGACACCAATGACCAGAATGATCAAATCTTAAATAAAAAAAAAGCCCTTTCTACCTTCATCCCGGTGAAAATCCCGGCACAATCTTGGTAGCACCACCGCTTGACGAGAATAACTATCACAACTGGAGTAAATCAATGTGTCGCGTCCACATCAAAGAACAAAATAGGCTTCATCAATGACACTTTCAACAAACCGAGCTCCTCGAATCAAAACTTTGACCTCTGGGATCGCGCAAACACCATGGTAGTCTCATGGATCAATCACACTCTTTCACATCACATTGCACTGAGCACGATCTGCTTCGATTCAGCATTCGATCTCTGGGAGGATCTTCGAGAACGTTTCGCCAAAGGAAACCATTTTCGTTTCTCAGATCTCCTTCGGTCTGCATTCCATTAAACAAGTTGATTGTTCGCTTTCGCAGTACTTCACTGATCTAAAGATTCTATGGGATGAGCTTGAAGATTTACGCCCAACGCCTTCTTGTTCTTGCCTTGTTCCCTGCACCTGCGATCTGGCAAAAGAAGTTCGCCATTACAAGCATACGGAATATGTTTCATGCTTTCTAAAAGGTTTGAACGATAACTAGCACAACATTCGCACTCAAATTTTATTTCTTGATCTGCTTCCTAGTATAAGTCGTGTTTATTCACTCATTGTTCAACATGAAATTGCTTCGCCAACCCCTCTCGCTGCTACACCCACCATTTTGGCTACTAACAACACTCAAAACTCTGCACATGGTAAGGGAAAAGGTAATGCCAAGAATTCCATGTTCTGCACAAATTGCAGCAAAACAAATCACACAGTGGAGACTTGCTATTTCAAACACGGTTTTCCACCTGGCTATCATACCAATAACAACAAATATGTTGTAGAATCCAAGACCACACACAATCTTGAAAAAGAAGGTGTCATTTCAAAGGAGGATTATCAACACCTGTTCTTTCTTTTCCAACAATCCAAGAAGGACTCTCAGACTTCCAAGACTGGTAAATCTTCCAATGGTGACAACCACATCATATCAGGTATTATCCCCTTACTTACTGCATCTAATTTATCAGATATTTGGATCCTTGATTCAGAGGCATCTGATCATGTATGCCCCTTCATCAAGTGTTTATGTGATATCCAACTTATTGCCCCTATTTATATCACTCTCCCTAATGGAAATCATATTGCTGCAAATTTTTCAGGGACTATTATTCTTGACCAATGTTTTAGAGTTGACAATGTCTTTTATATTCCAGAATTTACATTTAGCCTAACCTCTATCTCTAAGCTTTTCCAAACCTCTAATTAAACCATTACTTTCTCTCACAATTCATGTTCCATTCAGGATGTGTTTACCAACAAGATGATTGGGCAAGTGGTGCACAATAATCACCTTTACATTCTTCACATGGCCCCTGCCCACAAATTCCTTGGAAACTTCACACACAATAGTTTGACACACAATAATGCTTATAATATTGATAGTTTCAAACATGCTAATAGCTTTACAATTTTAGACCTATGGCATCATATGTTAGGACATCCCTCTAATGAGGTTTTACATCATATGTCTGAAACTTTCTCTATAATCAAATATAATAAAATATTCCCTTTGTCCTGTGTGCCACTTGGTCAAACAATGTAGACTACCATTTCCTATTAGTAAAAATACTACCTTTACTTGTTTCAATCTTGTGCATATGGACATATGGGAGCCTATTTTTTTGCCTTCTATGGATGGTTTCCAGTATTTCCTTACAATTGTGGATGATTTTACACGTTACACTTGGACTTTTTTTAGGCATAATAAATCTGAAACACGCATTCACATTCAAAACTTTATTTCTTATTGTCATAATCAATTCTCATGTAAGATTAAAATCATTTTTAGTGACAACGGAACTGAATTCATTATGCATTCCTACTATACTTCCCTAGGCATTGTTCATCAAAATCTTGCATTGAAACACCTCAACAAAACTCTACTGTTGAAAGAAAACATATGCACTTGCTTAATGGCACTAGATCTTTATTATTTCATGCCTAGTTACTTAAATGTTTTTGGTCATTTTCTCTTTGTCATTCCACATACTTAATTAATAGGTTATGCAGTCTCACTATCAATAACTATACTCCTTATGAACTTTTGTCTAAAGAACCTCGTTCTTTCACACATCTCACAACTTTTGGATGTCTCACCTATGCCACAACCATAACAAGACATAGAGATAAACTTGATCTCAGAGAAACCAAGTGCCTTTTTCTAGGATTCCCTAATGGCACTAAAGGTTACCTCATTTTTTATATTAACACCAGGGCCACCAAAATTTCCAGAGATTGTGCATTCTATGAGAATATCTTTCCTTATACCTCTCATCAAACACTTCATAGCAGTTCTACATTTCCTCATGACAATACCCTATCCACCACCCCCTTCATTTTTGATTTCCCTCCATCTATAGGTCATTCTAACACAACCAATCCCATTCAACCTACAATATACATTTCCACCACCCCTTCTAATGATCAACCTGATATTGAGCCTGTGCCACATCCTGACAACATACCTACCAATGAACATGTCCAACCCATTGATCATATGACTAATAGTGAACCTGTCTGTGACATTGACAATAATACTAACACTGAACTTACTATCACTGACAGTGAACCTGCCACCACATCTGACAATAATCAACTTTCCTCTGTTAGAAGATCTACTAGACTTAAAACATCCCCTGCATATCTTAAAGACTTTGCTTGCACTACATATAATACTACACATCTTTATGAAATTTCAAAATATATTTCATATCACAATACTTCTCCTGCCTTTTATTCTTTCATTTTTGTTGTCACTGTTACATGTGATCCCATCACATTTAAACAAGCTTGCATCCATCCTCATTAGTTTAAGGCTATGAATGCATAAATCAAGGCCTTAACAGACAACCAAACTTGGACATTCACATCTCTGCCACCATGTAAGAAAGCCATAGGCTGCAAGTGGGTCTTTAGGACCAAATTCAAGTCTGATGGTACCATTGAAAGACACAAAGCTAGGTTAGTTGCCAAGGGCTTCACACAAGTTGCAAGTATTGACTTCTTTGACACTTTTTCTCCCGTAGCTAAACTGAAAACTGTAAGATTACTTCTTGCCTTTGCTTATTCCTTAAACTTGCATCTTCATCAGCTTGATGTTCATAATGCATTCCTTCATAGAGATTTGGATGAGGAAGTGTACATGTCATTCATGGCATTACACCTTCTTATCCAAATCAGGTGTGCAAACTTTTAAAATCAATATATGGACTTAAATAAACCAGCATAAAGTGGTTTAAAAATTTATCCAATACTCTTTTAACCAATGATTTCAAATTATGTTCTGTTGATCATTCACTTTTCATCCATCAATCTCCTAACACATTTACTGCACTGCTCATATATATGGATGATTTGATCATTACAGGTAAAAATTTGGATATTATCTAGAAAATCAAGCAAGCACTATAACATCATTTTAACATCAAAGATCTTGGCACTTTGAAATATTTTTTGGGTTTGGAGGTAGCAAGGAGTAGCTTTTGCATCAATCTCTACCAACATAAATACACTCTTGACTTACTCTCCAACACTAGCTTACTTGGATGCAAACCAGCTGCAACACCTATGTCTAGAGACACCAGATTAAAAATTAATGAAGGCACTTTTTTACAAGACCCTACTATCTACAGAAGTCTTGTTGGTCAACTCATCTATTTGCTCAATACACGGCCAGATATTTCATACTTTGTACAATAATTAATCCAACACATGATTCAACTCACAACTCTTCACTAGAAAGCTTTCATTCGAGTGTTGTGCTATCTCAAGAATTCTTCTGGCCAAGATATCTTCTTCCTTACCAGTTCACCTATGCAACTCAAAGCTTTCTCTAGTCCAAACTGTGCCACATGTCCAGACACTCACAAGTCAATCATAGGCTACTGCATCTACCTTGGAGACTCCCTAATTTTTTAGAAATCAAATAAGCAACCAATCGTGTCTTGCAACTCTACTGAGGCAGAATATCGAGCCATGGCATCAACTATATGTGGGCTCTAATGGATAACAAACATCCTCAAGGAATTGCGCATATCTTTCATAGAACCATCCCTCATCTACTGTGACAACGCTTCAGCTCGACATATCGCTAGTAACTCCTCCTTCTACAACTGCACCAAACACATAGATTTGGAC